CCAACACAACGTAAACAGTCGAGTCCAAACGTTAATGGGAAAGAAACAAACCAACAGCAAAAAGATATAAATGCCGACCTTCAAAAACAACTCCAGAATAAACAAAAGGAGCTTGAAGAAGCACAGGAAATTGTTCAGCTCCTAAGAAAAAGAGAGAAAAATCTGACTGACAGGTAAAAAAAGAAGCATGTAAATTAATTGGATATTACAGTCATGGAGGAAAGTCAGTAAGAATATCTTTGTCTATTCTATTTAAGGTTACAGGACCAGGCGCAGAGACAGTTGAAAAAAGGCGGGAAATTTGAGGATCTGTCGTCAGGCGAGTGTAGGCCGTCCGCTCTGGTAGAACGCTATGACAACCTCTACACCCAGACGAGGCTAGATGCTATGGACGAGCTTGATGAGTCGGAATCTCTAGATAAAGTGGACGACAGTGGAGACATCAAAAACAAAATATTGTTCTCGGTTTTGGTGGTAAGTATCATAATCTTCATTTGCATTTGCAGTTGTGATTCGTTCAAAAAAGTTGTTATAATCGACTTAAAATGAGTAAAAAGGCCAATGAGAACCCCTGGAGAGTCTGCTTGCTCAAGGAAATTTTTTCAGGGAAAAAGCAACTTTTTGTGAGGACAAGCGATTGGTAGGGCAAATTATTATTGGTCGGCCAAGAGATATTTGAGACTTAAAAAAGAGTCGCTACGGTGACCACGTGACCTCTACTGCTGCGGTCGTGGATGCGGAGTCCTGGGGAGAATACGTCACCGTAGCCCGCCTAGCAGCTTAGCAGCAAGGAGCAGCAAGCGTTTCCATGTGGTTTTGGAGCTCGTTCCATGTTTCGCAGGGCCAAAACCTAAAATAGCGTTCCTCGTCGTCCCCCGGTCTTTCTTTGCTCCGTAACCACACAAAAAGGCTTGCTACGCAGGCTATAGCCCACCAAATTTCAACTTAAAGCAAGAGGAGTCGAAACAGTGAGTGGGGCGTTTCTCGCTCACTTGCTTTTACTGTTAATAAGTCGTAATGACCTCCTTCAGAGAAGCAAGAGATGTTATTTTTCTCTCTTACAATCAAGGATTAACAGTGACGAGGAGTGTTTGTTGCTGTATGCTGGATTCGTGCAAGCCTCAAAACCTGGATTTTCCTTACGACTTGTACACAAAATTTGACCTCGGTTGAGGATAAGAAATTTTAAAATGAGAAAACGCAGGGGAGACGTAATTCCTGGAAAACTAGAAGCGTCAAATACTTTCTTGATAAAGTGAAAAACAATCTATGATAGGTTTTAAAACAGGTGATCGTAAAAAAAGAAAACAGGAGAAAAGTCAACTTTCATAATCACGTAGCAGCGACTACGCCACAAGACAGGTCTTCACGTTGTTGGACTTGGCGCTCCGACTAAAAGCCATTTTCATGCAAGCGCACTGCGTCATGTATGGGCTTTTTTCCTTTCGGCCGCCGTAGCGGTCGCCGTGGCCCTCCTCATGCGCAGAACTATTCCTCAATCTCCATAGGTAAGAGCATGTATACCATCATACTCTGTGGAGTTTCATTAAAAACAACGCCTTTAACTCGAACCAATGACGTTAAAAGTGTTTGTGTCCATTCCGGTAGGTGGCATACCGAACGGTACAACACTCACTGACAGAAAAGCAAACTAAGCTCAAGAAAATCCTAGATATCCCGGATGACGACAAGATAGCAGCGCACGCGCAGGAAATGCAAGACCGCATTGCCGACTATCTAAGGATAACGGGCGCACGATTGAAAATTGACAGTATCAAACAGGTGTGTTGAGAACTTAAGTGAATATTTTAATGAATGTCGAAAAAGTGGATGATTATTTTGGTTAATTTGTTGAGGGTGAACGCAAATAATTAATCCTTTCCAAATAGTTGTGAATGCATCCTTAAGAAAGCAATTGATCATTCAAGCTCGATTTTAAGGTATAGATTGTTTTGTGGTATTTAAAACAATGTCAACGGAGACAACCCCAAGCTATAATGACGGAAATCTTGAAGATATAAACTCAATCTATACATTTGCTTGACTTAGAAAAGTAATGTATTTCTATGTGGACGGAATAAACAGTTTCGACAGCGGGACACGCGGGTTCAGTCAGCTGTTTTCTTTCCGAGAAACCAGGAGACATTTCTTTAACCCCATCATTTCGTATATGCATAAAAAGGTGGCGAATAATTCATAAGGAGGTTTTTAACACTTCTTTTTTTTTGGCTTTAAAGGATGTAAGTAAACAGCTATGGAGCACCTTGTACGATTTTCCAGAATTACAAAACTTTGTGAAGTTGAAAGAATACATGGATGAATGCGTTCGCTTGTCATGGATGCTGGCAGTCCAAGTTCCACCAATGAGCATTGAATACGAAGCCACAGAGTTCTCAGCGAGACTTCACGGACGGTTCATGACGTCTGACATGACATCTCTTCAAATAAAGTATCACGTGTGGCCGGCTTTGATCGAATCGAAAGCCGGTGTTGTGCTTTATAAGGGAACTGTAGTGACATGAATTAAATTATTCCCTGGGACTGGTTCAATAGAATAAAGACTAGTTCAACAATAAATTATTTAATTGCAATGTTCGTGAACGAACATTACCTGTAACTGCTAGTCTTTCGGTGCCAGCAGGTTTCCCTTTGTTAAAATGCGGACGGGAGCCTCGTGATTGGCGTCCAATATGCCGCCATTAAATAATCTCAAGTGTTTTGTTAACCCGTTTTGTCAAGGTTTTTCCTCGCGTTAATCGATTTCTTTCGCTGTAATTCTAATCGATACATGTGATGGTCATTTTGTGGGGTACTTGTAAATCATTTAGGGACGCCTCGTGTGTGATTAAACGTTGAGGTTGTTGTTTTATAGTGATGGATGTCAAGGTGTGCCGCCATTCGCAGCTACAAATCCTTTTTCATTATTGCGCATGTGCGTGTTTTTTGCAAAAGCGCTTTTGTGTTGAAGGCAGAGCCGTGAGAAGAATGGGGAAAACGGTCAAGTTCAGATCCCTGCAGCCTAATTTTTCCTCGAGGGTTTCACCGAAAAGCTTTCCCGCACTCTAGATAGCCTGCATACACTCTAGATGCCACCTACTGCGCAACCTGTTGAAATGACGTCTTTTGTGACAGTCAGTCCATCACTTGGCCGGCAAAGTGCCTTTAAGGGGGAAATTGTGTTTACTTTAGTTTGGTTTCGTTAAGAACATCGGGGGCCTGAGCTGTATAAAACCTAGCGTTGGACAAAAAAGATTGACAACGAACGTCAACCTCAAATCAAATTCTCCTTTTTAACGCCAAAAAGATGGCAGCCTTTTTTACGGCGTCTGAAGTGGTCCCATGGGCGGAGCTAGAATTTCTCTCTAGTGAATAGTAATGAATCAAGCGCTGTTGCTGTTACAACTACTTTCTTGGAGGGATTGGAGACATGCTCAGGAATAGCGTTTCCCAGGAACTAAGAAGCGGTAGGACTTTTAGCGCGCATTTGTCAGAGGGGGTTGAAAATATTTCCTTATGAAGAAATGATAACAGTGATAATGGACTTTTGAGTCTGCTGCGTAGAAGGAAAGTATTGCGCGAGCAGTATCTAACCTCTCTTCCCCCTCCTCCCCCACCCCCACTCCTGGTTGTAACTCGTACAATGTAGCTATGCTATTCCTCGCTTAAAAGGCAACGAGAGATATGCATCATAAGAGCACACGAGCCTATTCGCAAACTAAGATAAGATGAGCTACTGCTGATAGACTTGAAAAATGCATTTCAACCTTCATGAAATGCTTGACTCGTTTTTTATCGTTTAATCAGCCATAAGGTAGACTAAATAATCCTCAGGTGCCATGGATGTGCATCCACGCTCGACTGTTGCGTGTTTTAAAAATCTCCGTAGTTGAAAGGATGTTCGTAAGGCCAAGTCTTCCGTTTTCCTTTGGCTCCCATCCCTCATTTGTTTATTCGCCTTATCCCTAAACGGAGGGTTAGTAACGCTATCATCAGTAGCCTCGCTAGAATCAGATTCAGCATGTTTCAGCATACAGGTGTCAAGTGAAAATCCATTTGTATATGTTGTAGTTAATTTTTCATCGCAGGTAAGTTTTATTTTTCTTTTGTTTCATCTTCATTAGCAGAACATTACCATACCCAAAAACAGAAGAGAAGCAAAATTACCTGAGATAAAAAAAATTAACTACAACATATATGTTGAATGATCAAGTTCGGAAATCCAGGAAGGGTCGTTTTTCATCTCTCGTGGCCCTGACGCTCATTGCTTACCTGGTAAGCACGATATTATACCATCTTTGAAGAAAAATGAGCGACTTCTCCCGGCGACTCAATCTCACAAAGAACATGTCAAGTGTGATAAAATAATTATCGTATGGAGGGTTTTATTACCGATAGAAAAATAGGGTAAAATAAAGTATGTACCAAACTACAGGTAACATCGATATTGACAAACTTGCTCAAAGAAGATTAAAACTACAGTAGCTCGATTCACAGCCTAAAAACCTTGAGCACTTCTGGAAAGGACACGACCACAATTACCGGCACGCATTACAAAAGGTCGTTACAAAAAAAACGCCATGCAGAAAAACAAGACAGTAATACGATTTACCAAATACTTTTTTCAATTGCAGGGAGTTGAATAACCAACCTATCCTATGTTATTATATTAATTTAGTATCAAAGGTATTTATTTAATTATCTGAATGCGACTGTTACGAAAATCAGACACTACTATCCTACCATCAGACAGAAGTGCGGTAGAGACTGGTAATCCCCCACTCATTAGTTGAAACTTTGTTAGGAACTTTCCACTCAGTTCTGATACCTGAACCACGTGATTGTCAGACTCATTTACAATCAGGCGTCCTGCTTTGTCGACTGACAAGAAATAGGGACGATCGAATGCCCCATCCCCTTTCCCTTTATCCCCGAATTTATACAGAAAATCACCGTCTGTATTGAACACTTTGATACTGTGATCAAGCAGGTCTGATACTATGAAATATTGATCCTTTTGAATACAGTGACGGGGATCAACTAACAAATCTTCTCCAAACTTCCTTAGAAACTGGCCGCTTGGAGTGAAGATCTTAATTAGTTTGTTATTTGAATCGGCAACAATAATATTACCATCACCGTCTACAGATAAACCCCATGGATTATTTAACTGGTGATCAAGATTTCCTCCACTGCCAATTTGGGTAAGGTACTCACCCCGCCCAGTGAATATTTGCAGTCGGTGGTTACCACTATCAGCTACTACAATGTTTCCATTATCTAAATAAGCTATATGTGAAGGCTTATTTAACTCTCGACCCTCACTGCCAACAGATCTTAAGTAAGTTCCATCACTACTAAATATCTGAACCCGCTGATTTACTATATCAGTTACAGCAATTTCATCACGTTCATTCACCGCCACACCCCAAGGTCTATTAAACATTCCAGCGGATGAGCCTTGTCCTCCAAATGACAACACAGCATTGTACTGTCTGGGTTTGACTTGAACAGTGAATGGACTGCCACTAATATGTCCTCCATTTACCATCACTGATGTCTGGCACGTTCCTGCTTCTTTGGCAAAGTAGCTGATATTGTAGCTGCCATCTTTGGTATCTTGAACTTGTGCTTCAGTGGCGCATTCAAGGTCTTCATCATTTCTGATTTCCACTGTAATGATATCACACTGTTCGTAGCATTGTTCATTCTCAGCATTTCGTGTTGTTAAAACAAACTGTGCTTCAAGTCCAACCGTCACCTCAGTGATTCCTTTTCCATCCGCTTTTGAGTTTCTCGATTTTGTCCGGCTGATGATTTGTTTCAAAAAACCAACACCTTCACTCTGTGTTTTAGCCATCAATGATTTGTTTGGAAAGAACAGAAAGTGGCAAAGATCCTTACGGTCACAGTCGACTAGTTCTGCCTCGTCAGTGATATCCTCCTGGAATACGGTGTTAAACTGCACAATCTCAGCATTTGTGCTTCGCTTTAAGAATCTTTCCGTTTCTTCAATTGATGTCTCGATCCGCCGTAATTTGTATTCAACCTCAGACTGTTGCTCTACCAGACGCTCGATCACCTCTTGAGCTTTCTCTTCCACCTCTTTAAACAGTTCCTGTTTCTTCGCTTCAAAGACTTTCATTAAATTGTCAATAAAACTCTGCGTGCTTTTCTTCACGCAAGCGACCTGTTCTTGAATTTCATTACACTCACTTTGTAGTCTGGTGATCGTATTTCTCATCTGAAGAGCCTTTTTTTTCTGAGTTTCCATCGCGGACTGTAGACTTGACTTTCGTTCATTGGCAACATTCTGAAGAAGCAACTTAGCGTGACCTTCGTGGAGTGTTATAGCACAAGTATTGCAAATGGCGTTTTCACAATTTTTACAAAAGAACTTCAGCTCTTCGCTTTCGTGATGTTCTATTTGGCAAAATACCGGCCTTTTTAACACGTCTTCAATGTCTTGATCTTGAAAATCTTTAATCGCTAGCACCCGGTGGTCTTTATTGGCTCGGATAATGTTATGAGCTGCAATGCAATCGTCGCACCAGAAGGCGCAACATTTAAAGCAATAGAAACTTTGGGCGCTTGTTTTGTCGCAGTTTGCACACTTTACACCAGCGACGTTACATTTTTTAATAGCCATTACATCCAACAAACTGTTCATTCGAAAGTTGGCCGGCAAATCTTGAGGATAACCACTTCCAGGAACTTGAAACTTTCTACGACATTCCGGGCATGTAATCTCGCCATGTTTTCCACTTGTTCGCTGAAGCTCGTTCAAACAATGAAGGCAAAATGTATGAAAGCACGGCAATATTTTTGGATCAGTGAACGGGCTCATACACACAGAACAGGATACTTCTTCATGTAGGTTGTGTAATAAGGTTTGTAAATCCATAACTGAGTTTGCAGAGCTGGTAAGAGACCAAGGTTTGAGTGAATGCTGACGCCCCCAGAGTCTTTTAGTGAGATTTTCGAGCACCCATTAGTTATCCCTCGGGCTACAGACATCAACCAATCATGAACGAAACATTGCTTGACATGTTTTGACGATGTCCAACTTCTGAGAACGACTTCTCAATTTTGTCGGGAATTAAGCTTAAATCCCGTGACCTACAAATAAGTGAAAGAATGTGTTGGGATATTTTGAAATTTGTTGCAAACAATAACTAGCAATCAGTGTGAAGAATCGGCTAGATGAAAAAGACTATGAAACAATTGGAGCTCATTCAATTGAAACGCACACTCGGATCCGATTAAGGGTCAACAAGACTTAAGAGCCATTATCTGAGAAAATCGAGAATCGCACGACACTCGTCAAAAAATCGATTTTTTTTTTATTTTGCGAAAACATCCCTTTTAGTGACCTTATTTAAGGAAAAATAGTTTTGGGTTCAAACGATTCATTTTAAAGGAGAAATTAGGAAAAGTTTGAAAAATCGATTTTATGCTCGTTTTTCGCACAAAACACGGCAGGATGCAATGGCAACTTCGAGAGAAGGGTGAACGCGTAAGAAACATTCCCTGACATTGAAACTTCACCGAATTATTATTTTGTTCTTACTCTTGAAAATCCTAAAAGAAAATTTGATAAACAATGCTTTACATTTTTATAATCGACAAGTGTAAAGAGGTCATATTTGTGACGTTAGACGTGCTAGAAAATGAAGGCCAACTTTGACTATTAAAAAAGGCCTCTGGTATATGCCGCTTGATCATAAAATCAATATAAAATGGAACCTTGGCTTTTGTACTAACTTACTGGAAAGTTTTAGCTCTGGAAATCAAATATCATCCTGACACCAAAGCAAGCGGTGAGAGCAATTGAATTGGGAAATTTATGCAAATTAGACGGCTTGCGGACGGTTGTCAAACTAAAAGAAAGGTTTTACATGAAAGGATTACTCACCATTGCTTGTAACACGTTTTTACGGCAAGGAAAGTTATTTCCAACTTCTTTTGCGTCGTTTTGAGTCACAAAATATATAATTTTTAGCCAAAAGACAAACGTACGTTTGCTCAGCAACTGCGTCCGAATCCGGCCGTGAATCGAAATAAAGTCACAACACGTCGAAGCAAGAGTTACAAGAGTTTTTACTTCAGTCAGGAGGCAAAAGGAATAAAAATTCATCGCAAACTAATGACTTCGATTTTGAAAACCTTTCATCACTTCAATCGTTCGTCGGCTGATAATAAACATCGCATAAGATCGTATGACCTTTGGTGTGACCGGAAATTGGTCACACGCTTTAGTCACGTCATCATGCTGTCACGAAATTTTCGTAGCTGTTGTCAGCAATTTTAATACAGTTTTCACATTTTTTGACAAGAAATCCTCTCATCGCAGTAGAAACAGCCATGCATATTTATTTTTCTTTTATTTACCTACTAGGCTTTGAAACAGCTTTTTTGCCTTCGAAGTACTAAACAGGAGGGGTACCTCGGATTCCAAGTGTCGTGAGTGATCCGTGGAAGCGAAAATTAAGACCAAAAAAGAACGAATATTTTGAATACTTAAGTAAAGCCACAGCTAAAAAAAAAAAATTGTTCAAAATATTTTCAAACTAAGAAAAAAACATACTTCGATCATCCCCGTGACTTGGAATCTGGCCAGAGTACCCCCTCCCCCTCCCCTCCTCCCCTATGCCGGGTCAAAATACTAAGTTCCCCCGGCCCAATGTCCCATAGTCAAGGGAGTATACTCTCTTGCTGTAGTAAAGAACTTGCAGAATAATACCAATTCTCCGTGGCCAACGGATTCAACGCTACAGTTTACTTTTGGTTTTGCTTGTTGATTTTTTCGCTATTTGCTCACGATCAGGAGCCTATAACCCCAACCACGACCAAATTATGAAACCTGTTATTACCAGAAAAAAAAAAAACAAAGAAACAGTCAGTCAGATAGACAGTACATAATTAAAAAGACCTCGACTAAGATTAAAAAAAATCAATACATGACACTGTCGAATGCGAAAACCCAGAAACCATTTTGTGGAAAAAAGGTTCGCATACAGCTATCAGCTGCTTTTGTCCACAACTCGCCGGTAGAGGTGCGCGGAAACTAGTGATTGTGAAATGGCTTCAAACTATGATCCTATACTGTTGGAATATTACTTATCACAGAAAGCTACACCTGATTTCTTCTAGCAGACCCAATCCTCTTGGTTCGTGTGGACAAAGTAGCTCATCCCGGCTATTTGCACCATGCTACCATAGTCTCCCTAGATTCCCAAGCCTCGCAAGCAGACCTTCCTGTCCCACGAACGTTGGGTAGGATTGTAGGACGAGCCAAAAGAAAGTGAAGGCTATAGGCTCTCGCGATGATGCAAGGAAGGTCGAGTATTATATTCCCCTATCCTGGTCGCCCAGGGTAAGTCTGCGGAGGAGAGTGACTGAGGGGCTGTATGTTCGAAAAGTTGACTAACGCCCCCGGGACTAACGCTTTCACCCTGCTTCTTCTTATTCGCTTGATAGTGATTTCCTGTTGTTAAACGTTTGAACAACAGGGCCCTAAGTATTGTGTTTCGTCTTGCACTAAAAACCCATAAACCTTATAAATTTCACTATGGGACTTCAACACCTCCCTTGAATGATCCATTTCGCTAAACGGGACCTCAAAACAACGATTCTGTGTATCCTAAGGGAGTGTATACTATACTTTCCTGGCTCTCGTCACTCACAGTGAGGTGATGGTGGCTTACACAGTCCAACCTCCATGTGCGACTGCCAATCCAAAAGACCAAATTTTCCCAGTCAAAGCCTTACAGTTGGAACTTCCAGTAAACGACCACCTTCTGTAAGTGACTGCGACCACTTTTTGGGCGTCACGGTTAATTGTTTTCCATAAGCGACCAGTTGACGCATTCTCTGCTCTCTATTTTTGCTGTGTGCACTATGTTCCTTAGAAAATATGAAGACCTTTAGCGACATCGTGGAACTACACATATCCTAACTTAGTAGATGTAGCCAACAAAGTGAAGATTATGTTGTGATTCTAGACTATTCTATATCTCACTCACCTGAATCCCTCTTTAAATTGAGCATGATTTAAAAGCTGTATTTGTCAAAAGAGGTAAAAGATAATATTTTGCCAGGAATTTGTTACACCGCCATTTAATAGAATGTGCCTGGACCTCTTCTCGGAATAGACCCCATGTGGTCCGATTCTTCTAAACGACCACCTCCCGTTAGGGACCACTAAGTCTTTGCATTTTTGGTGGTCGCTTACTGGAGGTACGACTGTATTACTTTGACCTATCAGAGGCTTACCGATAATAAAGGGGATCTGGAAGGGGGCATGGATGCGACAATCACATGCAGGTCGCTTACTTAAAATAGTAGACATCTAACTGACAATCAAAGTTTGTGCTTATTATTGGGGTTATCTGGTGTTTACTCACCTCCCAAGCTACCCTGGGCGAGCCAACTTTTCCTCCATTTCCTTACAAAACTTGGTAAACCATTTACATGAGAAACAAAAGGTTGGTTCGGATAGACGCCTTACTACCAGTAGTGGGCGGAGTTGAGGGCTTCCGGAAGTCAGCCCTCCACTGAGCCGGTAGTGGTGGCCTCACCCTTCCAGCCCGGCTAATATTTCTCCACTTTGGCTCGCCCAGCTACAATCGGCGACAAAATGAGTTGAGACACTTCGCCCAAAAGTAGGCTTTTTTACGTTTTATGAACTTCAAAAGGAGGAAATATAGCTTTCCTCCCCCATCCCCTCCGTACAATGTTGTGCCCTTGTTCTAGCTACCTATAGAAAACAACAAACACCCCAACTTTGAATGGAGGGGACAGGGGAGGGTGCGGATTCGTTTGTTCTCCGAAGTCACCCTATTTGTCTCAACAATTTTGTCGCCGATTGTAGTTGGGACAACACGGTCAAGGCTAGACAAAGACAGCATGCGCAAGCACTGTTGACTCGGACAAAGTGGTCAGTTTTTTCCTCATATAAACGCTCGCAAAAGTTGGCTCGGCTGGGAGGTTGACCTTCTCTCCGGCACAGCTTTTCTCCATCCATGGGTTCCAAACAGTCTTTTAGCAGTCACGTTTGAAATTTATAGGAAAATGATGTAGCACTTCAAAAAATAATAATAATAAAAATACACTTTTTTCACAGCCTGTCAATGCCTAGAAGGTGTCTATAAAAGAAATCAACTGCAGAACAGGAGTCAATTTCAGTTTTTTGCGCTTTTCACGCTAGCACTGCGAAGCGGACTGGGGGCGCGAGACACGCGCGATGCATGGGGAACAAGTTCTGCAGGCTATAAAAGAAATTAAAAAATAAATAAATAAATAAAGCAGGCCTGATTTTATTTCGATGAGTCTATTTTTTGTCGAAAGCAAACGTGAAAAATCGTATTAAAATTCGTGACAGTATGCTAACGTGACTTGAGGGTGTGACCGATTTCCGGTCACACGCCAAAGGTCATACGATCTTGTGTGATGTTTATTATCAGCCGGCGAACGATTGAAGTGATGAAAGGTTTTCAAAATCGAAGTCATTAGTTTGCGATGAATTTTCAATCTTTTGGCCTCCTGACTGAAGTAAAAACTCTTGCAACTCTTGCTTCTAAAGGACCGCAGTGACGTGTTGTGACTTCATTTCGATTCACGGCCGGATTCTGGCGCAGTCGCTGAGCAAACGTGCGTTTGTCTTTTGGACCTTTTGGCTTAAAATTATGGATTTTGTGACTCAAACCGACGCAACAGAAGTTGGAAATAACTTTCCTTGCCGTAAAAACGTGTTACAAGCAATGGTGAGTAATCCTTTCATGTAAAACCTTTCTTTTAGTTTGACAACCGTCCGCAAGCCGTCTAATTTGCATAAATTTCCCAATTCAATTGCTCTCACCGCTTGCTTTGGTGTCAGGATGATATTTGATTTCCAGAGCTAAA